ATTCTTATAAATTCTTGGAGATGAAATTTTTTTCTTTGGAGTATAATCATTTTGGAAAATTATAAAACATCGTATTATTTGCAATCACTTGCTATAGCAGTTTGCAACACTATCTGGAGATCAAGGTTTTTAGATAATTGTCTCATGGTGAACCTGTTAACCGGAAACTTTTTTCTTCTGAAATATATTGCATTTTCGAATAAACTGTTAGTCAGTTGCGAGAGCAGCGTGCATTACTATGTCGATATCAAAATAATCAAAAAGATGTCTAATGAAAAACCTGTAAAAGGCAGACTGTTTTGTCTACAATTTAATGCACCATCAAGTATTTGTAATCATTCGCTTCAGAATTTGCAGTTTTATCGCTATAATCAATTTTATTCACTAATAATTCTAAAAACTGAAAAAAAAAATTCAATTGCCAAACAAACGAAAACATAGGAACGAATCTGTTATTTTTTTCGTTTTGCATTGCATAGCCTCAAAAAAAGATTGATAACATAAAATCTTTTTAAGCACGTTTCGAAAAAAGAAATCACAAATTGTAATTTTAAATGGAATCAATCGGTATAGCGAAATTATTTCAATATCAGAATTTAGAGATATAAATATCAAGAAAGAAAACAGTGTTTGTTAGAAAAGTTTTTTTTTCTCGACATTTTTTTGATTTTTTGGATTATACTACACCAGAGAAAATATTTGCATTTTCTTGTTACAGTAGTTTTGAATACTATTCGATATCAAAACATTCAGATACAATTCTATTGAAAAATTTATCAAGTTTCATTCATTTTTTATTCACTTCATTTATTCAAACATCTAATATTTTTGCATTCACGTGCTATCGCAGCTTGCAGTACTAACTTGATATCAGAGTACTCCGATTTATGTCTATTGAAAATTTTTCAAAAAGACATTCACTTTTCTTTTTTGGAGTGTACCTAATTTTTCAGAACATAATGCACCATCAAAATACTATCTCGGTATCAAAATAAACAAATAAGTGTTTCATGAAAAGATTGATAACAAGGAACTTAGTGTTTTGAAATTTTTTAAAACTATTGTTGAATAAAATTGTTCTATCGGAAACACTTGTATTCACTTGCTATAGCAGCTCACCATACTATCTCGATATCAAAGTAACCTGAGATTTCTAGATATCAAAATTATCAGATTCAATTCTCATGAAGAAAGATTTAAAATGACCTGCTTCTTAACTAAATGAAGTATATTTATTCTTTTTCGGAATTTATAGCCTCATTGCATATATTTGCAGTCAATTGCTTTAAATCTTGCAAAGCTTTCAGGAGGTCAGGTTTTTCTGAAACATATCTCATGAAAAAAATGGTAAAAAGAATTTTGTTTAAGTTTTTGAGGTTTTTTGAATATTTTGCACTATCGGATACGGTTACAAATAGTCGCTATGGCAACTTGCAATACTGTCTCGACTGTCTGCAATACAAGTCTTTCAGAAAAGTTTTGAAAAGAAAGTATATTTTTGAAACTTCATATTTTTGGAAGATCATTCATCATCGGACTCAACTGCTATAACAACTTGCCATGAGATTTCGATATTTGTTCAGATTCATTTCTCAAAAAAAATTCATAAAATGGAATTTTTTTTTTTGAAAAATTTACATTATTTTTTGGAATAATCTGCTCCATCGGATATAACTGCAGCCACTCGCAATTGCAGCATGCATTAATCTCTCTTCTAGTATCAGAACATTCAAGTAATAGTCTCATGAAACAAAAAACTTGTTAAATTGGATTTTTTTTTTAAATTTGAGGAATAGTATTCATTTGGATTATATTGGACCATCGGATAATTTTGCAAACACTCGCTATGGCAGCTTGTAAAATTACCTCGATGTCACAATTTGCAGATAATTGTTGCATGAAAACTTTACTAAAATGCAACCTTATTTTTTGGAAAACCATCATGATTTTTTTTGAGGATTTTGTATCATCGGATGTATTTGTAGGCAATCGCTACAGCAGCTTGCAACACTAGTGAAAAAAGTTTTATTTAAGTTTCGAAAATATCTTTTTTTTTAATTTTGATAAAACCTGCCTAGTCGGAAATTTTTGATTATAGCAGCGTGCAACACTATGTGGATATCAGAATTTTATGATCTAGGCCTCTTGAAAGGAGATGTTGAGATAGATAAAATGAAAAAATTGTATTTTTTATATAAATCAAAATGTTCATTATTCTTGTTCTCGATTGTATAGTTTCATGAAAAAATTAGTAATATGAAATTTATTCAATTAGTTATTTACTATTTCTATCTCAGAATAGTCAGATGGCCTCATGAGTTACTTGTTAAATTGAAGCCTTTTTGTTTGTTTTTTGTTCCGTCAGTTATAATTGTAGTCACTTACTATAGCAGCTAAAATAGTATCTCATCATCCAATTATTCGGATCTATCGCTCATGAAGGAAAAAATTGTTAAAAAGGAAATTAAAATGCCCTTTTTGGAATCTTCTGAATTTTTTGACTCATTGGAAAAATTTGCAGCCACTTGCTGTAGAAGCTTGCAATACTACATCAACATCAGATCAATCAGACACTTCTGATAAAAGTTCATTGGGAATAAGATATTTTATTTCAGTTGATTTTTTTTAAATTGCACCATCGGATGTATTTGTAGTCACTTGCTATTACAGCTTGCAATACTACCTTGATATCAAAAAATTCAGATATATGCCTCATGAGGAAAAATTACAATGTCTGATTTTTTAATAAATTGAGGCATTTTTTTGGAATACAATGAACTTTTGTATATATTTGCACTCACTTGCTATAGCAGTTTGCAAACATTATCTCGAGGTTAGTGTTTTAAATTACATGTCTCATGAAAAAATAGAAAAAATATTCATTTTTTCTTATAACGTTTGTTTACGGACTATATTGCACCAACGGATATCTTTGCAGTCACTCGCTTGAGCAGATTGCAGTACAATTTCAATTCAAGTAATTCAGATTTTTGTTCCATGAAAACTTTGTTAGAATCGAATTTCTTTTTGAGGTAATAATTTTTTTTGGTTTAAAATAAAGAACTGGATAAAATTGTAGTCACTTGCTATAGCAGCTTCATTATTATCACGTTATCCGAAAATTCGGATTTCTGTCTCATGGAAAAAAAATGCCAAAATGAAACTTTATTCTTTTTGTTACTTAATTGTTTCGAAATTTATTGCATCATTAGACAAATTTGCTGACACTTGCTATAGCAGCTTGTATTACTATATCATTTTCAGAATAAAAAATCAGATTTGTTATTCTTAAAATGAGTTTAGTTTTGTTTGTATTGTTAAAAAATTTTTTTATTTTTTTTGCTTCATTGATAATATATGCAGTCACTTGATATCGCAGCTTGCAATACTATTTGAATAACATGCCAATTTCAAGTGTCATGAAAGATCATTTAAAATGACCTACTAGCTAAACAGCTTCATAATATCAGAAATTTCGATCTACTATCAATTGGAACATAAGACGCCATAAGATATATTCGAAGCTGCTCGCTATTGCAGCATGCAATAGTATCTCGCTAGCAGACATACAGACAAATGCTTTTTGAAAATTCTGATAAACGAAATGTTAATAACTTTTTTGAATATTCCCTTTTTTTCGAATAGAATGCGCCAGCGGAGGATATGTTTGCAGTCACTTGCTTAGCAACTTCCAATGCTATCTCGATATCAGATTATTCAGAAGCATGTCTTTTAAAAGATTGATATAAATCTCCACAAAACGAGTATTTTTTAAATTTTTTAAATTCAGTTTGGAATAGACTGCAACTTCGGATAAACGAATGAAATTTATATGAAATGCTATCTCGCTATCAGATTTTCAGACACGTATCTCGATTTCAGAGTGATTTTGGACACATTCGTTTGTTTGTTCAACCATCGAGGTTTAGTAGTAGTCACTTGCTAAAACAGCTTAAATACTAACGCAAGTTTAACTTATGCAGGCATTATCAAGCAAGATATTCGGCAATATTCGTAGTCACTTTTTATCGCAGCTTGTGTTAGTATCTCGATGTTCAGATACATTCTCATGAAAAAATTGATAAAATGGCCCTTTTTAAGGAACTGAAATCACCATCGGATGTTTTCGAATTGCTAGCTATTATTGCCCGCTACATCACGCGCTACAACAGCATGCAATAGTTCCAAAAATCAGATACCGACCCGTCTATTTTGGATATTTGCTTATTCTTTTGGAGTAGAATGCTCAAAACGTTCGAATATCTTGGTTCGCTATAGCAGCTTGCGATTAAATTCTTCAGAAAATCGATTAGATTCTTCAGTTACCTGTCACGAAAAGATTTCTAAAAAGAATTTTTATATTTGGGAATACTATTTATATACGTTTTTTTTTTGGAATATAATGCACCATCGGATATATTTGTAAATGCTGGCTATAGCAGCTTGAAATATTATCTCGAGATCACAATATTCAGATATATGTCTATTCAAAGAAAAATCGTTAAAATGAAACTTTTTCTATTTTTTTTATATATTGCACCATCGTATATATATTTGCAGTTTCTACCTTTCCAGGCATTCAATATTTGACGCACAGCGTCGTCGCTTAAGATGCTATTGGCTATCAACAGCCATGTAATAAGATTATCAATTCGGAGAAATTGATAGAGCTATCAGAAATTTCTGAAAGCCTCAAGAATTTTCTATATCGAAGCACCAATGATATATGAATCGAAGCAGCGATAATAACGTTTATAAAACATACTATAATCATATAAAATATATAATCAAAGCTTTCCTGAACTTTTTGAAATATACTAGAAGGCGAGAAGTTTTAAGACATCATTATTAATAAACACAAGTTACATAACAAGACATCACGAGACAATGTTGAATACGATTCTTTTCTAAAGACGACAAAAGTACATTAATATTGGTATAAGACAAGACAATAAATATTGGATTAATACAGGTTTAAGATATTGAATATAAATTGGGAACCCAGCCCACATTAATTTAAGACGAGTAGAATTCACTCAACGACTACTTTTCGGGTCAAAAGTTTCCACGTGAACCCACACATGAAAACATTGATCAAAAACTTCAGTTCTTCATTTTCTCATCAGCATTCCACATTTAGTTCATCGCTTCAATAGTAGATGCCAGATTATTTCCAGAGTTCTGGAACAGACCGGCTGTTCCTCCGCATGACATGTTTCCGCCAGATCCAAGTCCTCCTCCCGATGCCATGTTTGCTAGCATTGTCGTCAAGTTCACCCCCTCGCACCCTCCGAGTGAACCAAGACCTCCGGCGGCTCCTCCGACTCCGACACCTCCGGGGGCGGATTGGAAGGCGGCCGATGTCGATGCTGGAGTGATACCATTGATGCCGTTATCCCTTGAAGTGTCCCCGTGGTGTTCTCCTTGCATGATGCCGAAGTTGGTCGCAGGCATGTTGTTCACAGCAGTAACAGGGGGCACAATGTTGTTCTTCACCTATGAACAAATAATTCAACAACGAGTCATGTAACAGACATGGAAGGTGGGATTTCTCATTAATACAACTTAAATTTTATGATAGCCTTAAAATTGAGATCTCACTCGGATATCGTCAAAATTTTTATGATAGTCTTCCTTAAAATTGATGATTTCGTTCAGATATCCACTATAAACTTTTTTCTTAAATTTTCAGTCGATTGGTTATAGCGAAAGGGCGTTTGTTGAGTAATGGTTAGTATGAATACCTTGCTGTTGCGGGTGAGTGGCACATGTGGCTTGTATGCCTCGATTGAATGGTGCCAGTTCCAACAGGGCAGACAGTAATAAGTGAAGCACATGACCTCTCGGCAGAAGTATTGACCCTGGACCTGTTGGCACTGACTGCACAAATGGTCGTCCAGATAGGGGTCAACCTGGACCTTCTTGTTGAACTTGTTTGCCTTGATTTCGATAAAACCGGCTGAGACTGCCTTCATGTAGGACCGGTCGTTGTTAAATGCCACTCGACCAGATCCTGAAACATCCGTTTTTCACATATCCTCAAAAAATTATTGAAAATAGCTGAGATTGCTCAATTGAAAACTATAAATTGAATGGTGCCAATCATCAGTTTCAAATTTAGCATATTGGAGCCACAGGGTTGGTTTTCATGTACACTAGGTGTACACTTTCATGTTCTCATGAACTATAGGGCTTTTTCGTTGGTCATACAGGGGTCAAACTCCTGAGGTATCAATGGTATCAATAGTTCGCTACAAATGTAGTTAACTTTCGCTTTTCAACTTCCGACAAACGCATAACCTTCTAACGGACATTTTGAAGACCACCATCTCTAAGCAGGTTTGCTAATTGAATTCCAATGGAGATTCACCAATTGTTTTTTTGTTAAATAGGCAAGAACCTTTTTTTTCAAAACCACCTTGTAGAACTAGCACAACTGCCTACAGATTCCCAGATGTTCCTAGTGTTCACTGACCTATAGGGTACTTGTACTTGTCAGTGTCTATGCCTGCAAAAGTGACTCCTCCGAACAGATCATTCATGATGCTGGCCAGTGCCTCTGCATTCAGCATCCCGTGCAGTGCCCCCACGAACACTGTTCTTGTAGTCTCACATCTTGCACCCTGGGGAACCCGAGAGTAGTTGCTGTCTCCCACCGCCCACGGGATCACTTGCACCTGCCACCAGCATTAATATTAATCAACCCTCCATTGAACTGCATTTTTAAGTGCATACAGGTTCTTCTGGATTGACCTTGAAGTTCAAGCTAACAAATGTTATAACAGCCAAAATTTTTCGGTCAAATATTAAGTACGGAACAACTATAAGATTTGCAAAATCAAAAAATCATTGCTTCGAAAACAGTTTTTTGTACATATGCAACTGAACGGGAAAGTTTTGATTGCCCGTTATAATTTTCGGACTACTTGACAAGCCAAGAGTGTCGATATTTCCAACAATTTGGCATCACCTGTAGCAGGGGAGGATTTAGGTGGGGTGGGGGGGGGGGGGGAGCTTTCTTTTCACAGGGATTCGACCCCCTGACTGCCCAACGAGTCCCATTAGCCAGTATCTATTTTAGGACCTTCATTTGTCTATCTGGCTGACTTAAAATTTCTATATGCTAATTTTGAAGGGGGAGGCAAATTTTTTCATACAGTGCTTTAAAACGCGTTATTTGGCCCGTTTTAAGCGCTAAAAAGAACAAATTTTTTTGAAAATTCCCGAGAAAATTCAATATCCGCCAGGCGCTAGTATCTGAAAACGCTAGAGTATTGAAGTAGTGGTTGATGATGGTAGATAGATACCTCCTTGGAGCGGGTGCGTTTGGAGGACAATTTGTAGTAGTACTCCCCACTCGCATTCTGGCCCAAACCAGTGCCATTGCTATTAGAGAAGTCATTGGTGCAGCTGTTCAACAGAGCCTTGATCGCCTTCTCATTCTCAAAGATCAAGTACACGTAGCCTGCAACAGAACAACGTACTCAAATGAATTTCAGAACCAGTAAAAAATCGAAAAATCCACTTCTTTTGAAATCCATTTTGAATACATGATCGATCGCATGATTAAAAGCTTCATCGAGAGGCCAGCAATAAGACAAATAACCTCTCAATAGCGTTTTCAATAGCAGCTACGTCACCTTAAATTGGCAGACATCGCTCTAGGTCCAAAATTTTTTTTTAAATATCATCTCCAAAAACTGAACTAGCTCAGGAAACTTTTGCATTTTCTATAAGTCAGAAGTGGCCATAGCCATATACTACTTCTACTAGTACTGAAGATTGTTTGAATTGTGGTCTCTCATGTTCGACCTTTACCACTTGGTGGATTCTTAGAGTGGTTCTTGTCTTTCCCCGGCCAGTCGACTGTCACGGGGCCGAACTGCTTGAACTGCTGCTGGAGCTGTAGCTCAGTGATGTCCCATGGTACTCCTCCCAAGAACACCTTGCAACTGTACAAAGGGTTCTTCGTGTTCTTAGGGGGGAGTTGCCCAACCCAAGTGCACGTGGCCTCACTGCTCGCTGAAATAATTTCCAGTCTGATCTCAAAGCGCATCAGAAGTTCGAACGTTCCGAAAAATGATTTTCGTTTTAATTTTAAAACTGGAATTCCTTGGAACTCCTTGAAATTCTTAGAAGTTTCAGATCCCACATTAACCCAAATCTAAGTGGCTGCCGACTACTACATAAAAAGAATTAATGGCTTTTACCAGCGGACTTCCGATGGTTTTCGGCCAACTGGTCGACAGCAATCAAATTCCCACTGGATCCCCCGTACGACGAACTGGGCTCAATGTAGCTCTGGTTGGTCCAGCGGGAGTCCCGCAGCAGCTCCAGCGATCCCGAGTCAGTGAACACTCCGCTTGTGCCTAGAGTGTCGTTAAGGCTCTGGCCCTGGTTCGGACCCTGCAGGGCTATCTTCGACTGAAGCAATAAAGCCAAATTCATCGATAATTACTGAAAATTGATGTCTTGTTAATCAAATCAGGCAAATCGAATAACTGAAGCATTTTGAGTTAATTATAAATGCTCTTTTTCGAATTTGTGTTGATTTTTTGCCCCGGTTGAAATAATTGTAGTCTGTTTCTGCTCGTTTTAACTCGTGCTTACCACCAGTTCGTGAAGTGAGTTCTCGGCAGACGTGTTGAAACTACTGTCAGTCTGGTAGCCAGAACTGCTGCTCAGACGAGAGGAGTTCAAGCCAGACACACTGCCTGCCACATGCATCTTGCCCACTGAAACGATCATGTTAACATCGAATTTCATTAGAATATTTTATGGAGTATCGATGTTTCAAAGATAATTGGTGTTGTCGCGAATTCTTCCCGAAAATCGAAAACGTAGCATTTTCAATTGCTCTTTTGAATTGAAATTGTCTGTCCGAATTTTTTTTGCTAGTTGTATTTTTTAAGACAACCTTCATCGATGAGGCAGCAGAACTTTCGCCCAACTGGAAACTTAATTAAAAAAGAAATTCTTTTTAGCAAACTAGATTTGTTTCTAAATCGCTCTCAATCGCAATGTATGATGACTCGCAATTTATGATGCAGTTTTCTGCTCACACTTGGCAATTCAACTTCCCCCCATCACTCTGCGAATTTTTACAACTTTTGTTCATGATGTCTGCGTGCTCTAAAAAATTAGCATGCTCGCCAAGAAGGCCATTCCTAAGGTATTCGGTTTAAATACTCAACCCTGCAAAGCCCTTCGGTAGAGCATAATAAAATTAAGCTTAATTTAGTCGGGGAATAAAAACCGCGCGCCCAGAGGGGGCATTTGGTATAAGTTACGGTTATCCATTTTCAGCAGACCAATTAAAACTTCGTAAAGCCAGTTACAAACTAATCTAAATTGTCTACAAAAATGACTGATGCCGCAGAACTTCAGTTATGGTCCCCCCATACATTTCGGCAGACCCAACCAAACGGTTGACAAAATTCTGCGCAAACCACTGCTCGGTTAATTGCAATACCGCCAACAGTTCTGAACAGAATAGGAAGCCCCGCCAATTCCAAAATTCAACCAAACTTACATTTACTCTGCGTTGGCAGGGGTTTATTGGGCGTCGATGTCATACCACCCCCAATTGCCATTCCTCCACCATTGTTCCTGTTGTGCTGCTGCTGCAACTGATCCGCCAACTGGTACAGACTAGATCCCCCTCCCAGAGCACCTAGCATACTCCCCCCAGCAGCCCCTGCGCCACCCCCCGCCGTTATCAGCTGCAGCCAATTCATTGCGCTCTGCTGCTCCAACAACTGAAATCGCTCCAACAACTGAAATGTCGAAAAAATAAATTTCATGTCCATAACTGGATGTCCAACAACTGAAATAGTATCCAAAACTAAGTTATACGTCCATAACTGGATATTTCCGGAAAAACTGCCTATAGTTGCTTTCATTTAATCATTGCGCGTTTTAAAGAGCTGGTTTGACAAAGTATCGAAGTTTGTTCCTTCAAGAATATTGACGAAAAACTTTTTTCTCAAAAATGTCCCTTTTGTCATATTTACAAAATAACGTCTTTTATTTACCGTCATTTTCAAAATTTAGGCTTCTATTTACCGTCTTTTTCAAAATTTAGGCTTCTATTTACCGTAATTTTTAAAATTAATAAATGAAACCACTCAAATCATTCATTTACCTGAAGAAACAACCGATTCTGTTGGATCAGCTGGGCGTTCTGGCTCATTCCTCCGGCACCTCCCAGTCCCCCCAATCCCCCCTGAATTCCTCCCGGGAGACCACCTTGAAGTCCGGCCGCATTAGCGAACAGACTCTCGGGGCTGATTGGGATCTGGCGCAGGGAGGAAGGGGTAGTCTGGTTTTGAGAACCCAGAGATGATCCCTGCAGACCAGTCAGAGAGGATTGTTGGATGTTGATGGGCCGACTGGGTCCAGGCTGATCCGCGTACGAAAGGCATTCTGAAAGTCACAAAACAACTTTTGGAATATAATCTGGGTTCTTTACTGTTGCATCAAAAGGTAATACCAATTACCTGGTAGAATAAAAATTTTATAGGCCAACGAAACTTATTTGGACAGAAATTTTAAAACCGTTCACCTTTTTTATTCGGAGGCTGAGTTCCTGACGAGTCACTTTGCCTTGTAGCCTTTCGCGGACTCTTCCCCGACGACAGAGTACTAGGTCTAACGACTTCGGTATGGGAATTCACATCCTTGACAGGGCCTCCTTCCAGTTTGCCAGCCTTCAGCTTATCCCATGCTTCCATGCCAGTGGGACTTGGTTCTTCGCTCACAAAACCCGAATCAATTGATGTTGCTGTGCTGTATTCCGATTTCGAAGATCCACCACCCACAGAGCTTCGCTTATCGAACGAATCGCTAACCCGCCTATCGGTCATTTCGGATCCCCGAACGGATATTATCGATGATTCACTAGCCGCGTTTTCCTATGAAAAAAAAATTATTAGGTCGTTATCACTTTTTACTTAATAAGCGAGAACTAAACTCACAAGAGTAGTAGACATTTCAATTGTTCTTCACAAGAAAAGATTACGTGGATAATAAATTTGACCTGATATAATGAATCAAAATTAGACTTAAATGAAGCTTTGAGAGTTTTAAGGATAAAAACTCGAAATTTGTCCGAAAAGAGTGAGTGAATTTTGACTCCGCTCTATTGTCGAGTGGAAGCTTACTTCAGCAAGTTCGAAAACTGACTGAAAATGGCCTTGAATGTCTGGTTGTTTGATTGCATTATTTCACATTAATGGAACTGGTTGTCATTTTTTCACACTGGTCGTTTCTAGAAGCTCAGTTTACGTCACTTAGAAACAATTATTGCTTAAAAGACTAATCTGTACATTCTAGATTCGAAACATGTGAAAACGTTAAAGGAATAAATCCCCGCTTTCTAAAAGAGAGATAAGGATTTTCTGGGTCATTTGGGGAGGTTCGTGTTTAATACAGAGATGCGCAGAATTAAGGTGGTAGCTTCACGACTGTATTTTCTAAAAGCTTGTTAAAACTTACAAGTTCAGTGTACTGTTCCTAATGGGTCTCATTGACTTCAGGGCGTATAAACTTCGGAGACTAAGTACGGTTTAAATTCGAATAAAGTTATTTTTTTGCAAAAATTTCGAGGCGATGCACATCCCTCGTGCTCGTAACGAAACAAATGATGGTTTTCAAGTTCAGGGGTGCAGCAAAGTAACCATTTTTCAGCAGCAACGAAAACTTCCAAAAAACAGGATGTCATTAACAGGCAACGACTACGAGATTATTCCCTATTAATTAAAAATTTTATTCCCGTTTTTGCTCAAAATGTGTTCACGATACAAGGCTTCCGTGTTACGCAATTTCGTGGAATATATTTTATGAACTGCTGCTTTTTCTATTCTAATTAGAATTTTTTGGAGACGAGTTTTGAATTAGGCATAAATAACTACTATTGAACCCAACCATATAATGAACATCACACACACTAAACTAGCAACGCAAATGAGCGCATTAATTATGTGAGCTATAGCAACTTTTAAACGAATTCCATGAAATGGCAAAACTTCTACATAAAAAAGGCAGTATATCCAGTTCCTATTTCTCGGATGCGATGTTATCCTTACTTGCACCACGATTTAACGTTGGTTTCCATAGTACTGCCCGATCATGTTCATTAAGAAAAATTTGGTGATCCGCCAAGCGTCACAAGTTTTTTCGTGACCAGGGTATCGTATCATGTGTTTTATTGTTCCGACCACCAAAAAGGGCGGAGCAACTTGACTCTCAGGTGTTTTTGTTCTTTTAAAGCTTAAGTTTTCATGCGAAAACAGGTGTCAGAATTGTCAGGGACGACACGTTCCTTGATGATAATCACTAAGAAGACAGAATTAACTTGTAATTATAACTCTCTTCGTATATATTTCTGACCGATTTAAAATACATCAACTTTCTATAATGTTAGCTGTAAGCACCAACTATATAAGAAGTCTTTCTTTGCAGCTTTAGAACACAATTGTCAATTCTCCCTTCAAAAACCACTTGGTTTTGAAAATAAGCAGAAAAAGATCGCTTGCACAAGAACAAACACGCGCCATATAGTGGAAACAACCCGCATTGGAATTCCATGCATAAAAATTGATTATAATTGAGTTTTCTTGTCAGTGTCCACAAAAGTGAAAACAATTCGATTATAATCAATTAAAAATGGATTATAAATATTACTATTTTTTGAGGCAACAAAATCCTTTTTTCATCCATTATAATCGATTTTTTTTTCACTTTTGTGGACACTGACAACGAAACTAAATTATAATTGATTTTCTTTCCACTTTATTGAGATGCGAATTTCAACGCACATAAAGTCTTTTCTACGTTTTAAACTAAAGTTGGTTACGTTGGTTACTTGTTGTTCAATTTAACTATTTTCTGTCTAACTTTGATATTTTTGTTACTTTTTACTTTCTTATGTTACTCAAAAACTGAATTTTGTTCCTTTCAACAATTTTGTTAGAAACTTTTTTATTATTAGAAACTTTGGGGGGGGGGTGTTCAGGGGTTCATAGAGGGTAGCAAAGGGGCAAACGTTCGGGGGAATGAAGGGCAGCAAACGGGCAAACGTTAGGGGGAGAGCTTAACGGAATCTTTTTGCAATTTGAGTTTAGGTTTAGAAATGGATTAGGCCGTACACTCGCTTTGCCAAGTTTCCGCATAACTCACTTGATAAATGCAGAATTTCTTGAAAAATGTTGCACTAAGCGCGAAACAAAAATAAAGTGGAAAAAATTCATTTTAATGTGATTTCCTACTTATTATAAAATCCATTATAATGGATTCCAAATGAATTATAATGCATTTTGTTTTAAAGAAAAAAAAAATGGATTGAAATCCATTTTTAGTCGAATTTTGTTGTCTGAACGTAACATGGGAATCGATTATATTTATAACATTATAGACCACGAAAATCCATTATATTCGATTTGTTTTCACTTTTCTTAAATGCGGGAAGACTGCTCCCTCGTGTATCAAGGCAAAGCCCTGAAGGTTCCGACTGTTCCTTAATTCAAATCGAATAGTTTTTGGAATCGTTTATTTGAATTCTTGTTTTAAACTTGTTGAAATACTAATTGTTTTCAGTTTTCGTTTTTTAAGTATAACTGTTAGGCTATAATTACTGATTCTTAAGTTTTAAAGCTTCTTAATTTTCCCTACACCGCGCAAAAAAACGCCGTAAATTTGAAAAACGGTGGTTGGAACACGCAAAGTGCTCCTCCTTTTTTCTTTTTTGCCACTTAAGATCAGACACCAAATAGTCAGCAATGATTCAAGTGGTAATTGTTCCGACTTTCATAACGAAAGTAACAGAATTTCTGAGCTCGGGGTGGGTTTCTTTTTCTTCAGACAAATTTCGACTTTTTAACTAGCCATTTTTGACGGAATTTTTTCTCATCAATCGAAAGCTTTTGTTGTCCTGAGATTAAATTTTGAAAATATATTTCACCTGTAATCGTTTTCCGTACTGTTATGGGGGTTTAAAGATTGCCACTTTGGCCAATTTAGGACAATTAACGCGCGATAGATTTCGCGCTATTAACGCGTAAGCGAGATTTAATCTGTATTAGAAATCCTTCCAAATTGATTCAAGGAAGCTTATATGTCATAATTGATTTGTTAATAGGAGCAAAAGTTATCATTTGTTTTTAATATGGCGTGTGGTGGATGTTTTCACAAAAAATATCAAATTTTTTTTTTAATTTTAATTTTTTTTACATTTAATTTTTCATGTTCTTGCTGCTTCATAGACCTTAAAAGTCAGTCGGAACATTTGGGGCTTCGCCCTGATACGAGCAGTCTTGTTCATATTTATTGTGTTTTAATTGTAAATTTATCGACTTTATTTCGTTAAGTTTTACTTCGATATAAGGAGCGAAATCATTAGTTTACTGCAAAAAAAATTAGTTTTAAAAGCTTCATTTAGTTATTCCTTGTTAATGAGTATTTCCAACTTACTAACATTCTAGTTTTTCCTTTGTTTCCGCTAATCACAGCAGGAACGACAAAAAATTGAAAGCGTTTACTTTTTCAGTTACAAAATTGCCATTAAGTTTCAGATGTGTGCCTGAAGCATCAAAGAAAAATTTTAGCCATTAAACTTCAGACGATGAGTGCCTGAGACATCAAGTGATTTTAACCGTGCTTCCGTTCCAGCCGTAAAAAAAACAGCTCATAAGATTTCGCAGAATCTACAAACATTTATTATCAGTTGTTTGATTTTGATTATCATGTTAATCACTCATGGCGAGTACGGCAAAAAACGAAAAAACCTGTTTATTAAAGAGACTATTTTTTTCGCTTTTGAGAGAATCAGTTTTGGTCAAAATTTTAGCGCTTGTTAAAAAAAATTATCTTTCAAAAATTATGGCGAAAAAATCGAAGATTTGTTCAAGGGCGGTGTTTCGAAAAAGCTCAAATTTTCAGACGTCGGAGGAATTGTTTCCAAAATCAATTTTTGATTATTTTTTGTTATTTCTTTTTACAAATGAAGAAATTCTTAAATTCATTCTCCACAAAACAAATTATTAACGAAATTTTGATGTAAGTACTCATTACGGATGGGAAGCGGAGCTTCGCAATTTTTGCGATGCAAAAAACATATTTCGCTACACGAAAGTGATTGAAAAAAAAGCCAACCAAAAATTTTCAGGAAACTTGGAAAAATTATTTGATAAAAAAACTTGAAAAAAAGACAAAAACGCAGCTACGAAAAAATCGCGACTGTATATGATGAAGTTAATAAACGCCCTTAAGAAGAAGTAGAAACCTATTACCGGGCGACAAAAAATTTTGGGTCGAAATCTGGTGTCATAAAAAACTTCACAAAATTTTGAAAGCTGATTGATCTTCCATCAAAAATATCAAGACTGAATTTGGGAGCAGATTGATCAACTTTTCATGCTAGTTTTTTAAGATTATAAGGCAGTTTTGAAAGCAGCGAGTGAATTAGTGACAATAGTTCTAAATTTTGAAGCCTAGAATTAACTTTGATTTGAAAAGCAACGGCCAAAACATGTTTTGGAACAAAAATGGACAAGAAGAAAAAAAAATTAAAATCATTTTAGATGGGAGAATGTTTACGTGGTAATGCATCTTTTCTAGAGAAAATTATCAGATTGACTCATTGAAGTCTCAATTTGTTGCCAATTTGATCATGATCGCTTCTCGGAAAGGTTCCCAAAAACGTTCATATAATGTTTCTTTTTGTAATTCCTCTTTAAAGACTTTTTAATGGAGAGAAAACTGAAAATACGAGATCTTTGTTTGACTTGAATGCGTACTAATTTAATCAGTCTTTGCGCTAGCATATGATTTTGAAACTCGAATGATTTTTTTACATACAAGAGAGAGGTTTCGTAAATTTCGAAATAGTAAATTATTCGAAGATCTCACATATTCAGTATTCCATCCGAAAAAGTGACAGGAACGATATCGATCAAATTTTGGTTAAAAAAACAGCGAGAAAAATCAACTGCAAAAATCCTAGACAAACAGTTTTATATTTGCGTAAAATGCTTCTGCTCACAACCAATCAATCAGCTTACAAAGTAATCTTTCCACTAGTTGACATTCGGTTTTTGAGCAAAAAACGAGGCTTTAAAACCTATGAGTTACACAAAT